TTGATTACATTTTTAAAAAACAGGTTCAGCTAGAGGGCACACAGTGACTTTTCTAATCATCAATTATGGAGCTATAAACAAGTCAGCACAATAATTTCCCAATCAATTATGGGGTTGTAAACATGCCAGCACAATTTGTAACAAAAATAAATTAATAAAAAAATTTTTTAAAAAGTGTGTCTGGGGTGTGACTACCCACCATAATCTGCCCAGTTAGAAATTTATTATCAGCTCACCCGTGAGGTTGTTGTGGCAGAAATCTGGCCACACAGTCGGAGGATTAGAAAAGGACTGTTTAATGCACACTAGTTGCTGTCCCAGTGGAATCACCTCCAAAGGCTGAGCCCCGAGCCAGGTTCTAGCCCCCTTTTATATACATGATAAGCCTCCGGGCATTTGGGGCCTTCTAGTTCCACTGTAGTTTAGGCAGTTGCAGGATGTATGGGAATTATGAGAGCCGGGGGCGGGGTCTCCGCACTGCCTAAGGGGCTGCACCTGGCTTGCCTTCTCAAGGTTACTTTCCATACAACCCAGGTATGAAAAAATAGGAGAATCAGCAAAATCATGGGATAACCAACAAGAAAATGTTTGTAGCTCACAAGTACTTCAGAGGTATCCAGTCTTCGGTACCCCCCTCACCCCACTTCCATCCCTGGTTAGGCATCATTTCCTGCCTAATCTGAGTTGTTTCTTCCATCCATTCTCTTTCAGTAATAGAGGCAGGTCTAGAATATCTGTCATCTCAGCTGGTCTACTCTTTCTTTTCATGTGCCAGAGATACATGACCTCCAATTAAAGCAGGGCCCTAATCACATCCTTGGCCAGCTCCCAAAACACAGCAGTTCATCATTTCCTACCAAATTAAATCTATTATTATCTCTGCCTTCCACAATGTAACCAATTCAAGCATTTGTCTTCTTATTCCTTAGCTTCCATCCTACATAACTAAAAAGGAATTGTTTCTCTTAATACACCCAGGGTTTTGTGCTTAGTTCTGTCATGTATAAATCACCACTCCCCTCCCAAATTCCACACATGTAATTCCACACCTCCATGTTCTGGCCCAGCTCAAATACCAATTCTTCTCATAAACCTTCTAGAAACTCCAGGCCCCTGATAACCCCTATCACCAAACTCGTGGCATTTTGTAGCACCGATCTTTAGCTTGTAGAGCCTTATGGTGTAATTTCTCTGAAGACCTTCTGCCCCCTTTGCCTGAGTAACACACCCTGGGGAAAGAGACACTGTCGTAGTCGGCGTCGCCCACACACATAGTTGGTGCTTTATCATGTTCAGTTTCCTTTAACTTAACATATTCCTTTTAAAAAAAACATTTTTTTTCTTGAGTTTTTATTTATTTATTTTTTTTATCCTCACCCGAGGACATTTTTTGTTCAGGTAGAGTGGGAGGGAGAGAGAAGAAGAGAGAGAGAGAGAGAGAAACATCGATGTGAAAGGGACACATCGAGTGGCTGCCACCCGCACGACCGACCAGGGCCGGGGACAAACTGCAACCGAGGTACGTGCCCTTAGCGGGAACCGAACCCGGGTCTCTCGGGACCGCAGGCTGATGCTCCAACCGCCGAGCCAAACCGGCCAGGGCCATTTTTTTTTCTTTATTGATTTTAACCCTCACCGGAGGACATTTTTCCATTTTTTTGTTCAGGTAGAGTGGGAGGGAGCGAGAGAGAAACATCCACATGAAAGGGACACATCGAGTGGCTGCCACCCACACAACCAACCAGGGCTGGGGACAAATCACAACCAAGGTACGTGCCCCCTTAGCGGGAACCAAACCCGGGTCTCTCTGGACCACAGGCCGACGCTCTAACCACTGAGCCAAACTGGCCAGGGCTCTTAATTGATTTTAGAAAGAGAGGAAAGGAGAGGGAGAGAGAAACATCGAGGAGAGAGAAAGATTGGCTGCCTCCTGCATGCCCCCCACTGGGGATCTGAGCCCACAACCTGGGCATGTGCCCTGACTGCGAATCGAACTGGCCACCTCGGCCCACAGGGCCGGGGCGGAAGCCCTCTGGGCGGAATGAGTGTACGTACTGCACACAGAGATGCTGTCTCCCACTAGACACACACGTGGCCCCAGGGCCCCAGCCCTGGAACTGTCTGGGGACTACCAGCCTGTGGGCGCTTCCATTACAGGCAGCGGAAGGGAGGCTCATTCCTTTAAAACCTCTCCATCAGATACCTGTTACCTTAGACCTCCCACAGCCTCCCCTCCACTATCAGCTTCAGATCTCTTTCCTTTCCAAATAAAATGACCCCGGTTCTTGGAACCCCAGCCTGGCCGCGCCGGGCCCGCCCCACGGACCCCCCTCCTCCGGGTTCCACTTGGTAGCGCCCGCTGAGTCAGCGCCGGCTCACCGGTTACCCTGCAGCTCTCGCAGGGTGCAGCTGACGGTGCCTCCGCCGCGCCGCGCAGCTGCCGCCCTCCAGCTCTCCTCCGACTCTTCCCAGGCTCCGAGCTGGGCGACCAGCAACCCGCAGCCTCCGCTCGGACGACCCCGAGAGTCTGCGCCGCCCGCCCGCCTCGGCCTCGGCCTCGGCCGTGCTTCGCTCCCCGGGCGCGCGAGGGGCCGCGGCGGTCGTGGCAGGGGCGCCCGGCATGTATCTGAGCCCGCGGTTGCTCCGCTCCGCCCTGCAGCAGAGGGACGCGCCCCGCCTGCGCCGCCGGGCCCCCGGCCCCGGCCCGCGCTGCCTGTCGTCCCCGCCGGCGGCCGCCCGGCACCCCGCGTTCCCCCAGCTCCCGGCGGCCGCTTCGGGCGTGGCGACGCCGCTTCCGCGAACAGGTAAGTGCGCGGCGGCTCCGGGAGGTGGGCGGCTCGTGCGGCCGTCCTCGTGCGCCGAATGAATGGGCGGCGGGGGCCGGGGGCCGCCGGGAAGGTCCCCTCCGCCCGCCCCTCCCTGGCCTCTCCTTGCCTGGGGCTGCTTCCCGAGCCTTGTCCAGGCTCCTTGTGGTTGAGCCTTAGGTGCGGTGCCTCCGACATTTCGCACCTGGACCTATATTTAATTTAGTTTTCCCCCTTCTGAGGCCGAAAATGATTTGTGTTGGTTTTACTTCTTATTGCTCGAATTATGGAAGTTTTTATGCAAAAAAAAAAAAAAATCATTGAAAGTTACACTTACTTGACCATGTGGCTTGCATGGCCTTGATGTTCTGTTTTTTTTTGTTGATTTCTTTTTAAGTATGTTAACGGTATTGTGACGCACAATGACTCATTTTTACCTTTTTTTTTTGGATTTTTTTGAAGCCTTCCACTCCTACTACTTATGTACTTCTGTGTCCTATATACCTGGGTTAAGATGTTGTAAAGGTGATGCCTTCTTTCTCCAAGAGCCAGTTGTATACATCACATACCTGGGACTTTTCCCTTTTTTGCCACCTCGGTTTCTGCCTGAGAACACAAATTACATACAAGTTAATCATACTTTTAAAATAAGTATTTCTTTCAAACTGGCAATTACTTCATCACACTAGAAAGGGTATTTTGATTGTGCCCGAGTTAGGCTGTTGCTGTTTGAGACATTTATGTGACCATCCTACATTAATCTACATTTGGCTCCAAAGGTTTTGGAATAATTGAAGGAGGACAAACCGAAAGAATCTGTTCAATGTGGTTTTCTTTAATTGATGAAAGTGATAATACAAAATGTGATTGAAGCCAAGACTTGCAACTCGATTCAGATGATTGGCATTTTTATGCTGAGGCATATGTTTATTTGTCACTCTTGAAGAACTAAAATTACTAGAGACACAAATTTATTACAAAGCTAACTACGAGTATACTAATATGTAAAATAATATGAGCAGTGTAATTAACAGGCTGAGGCATACTTTTAAAAATTAAGATGTTAAACTGGTGACTGAAACTAAACTCTAGATTGTTCTTTAGAAAGGATAAACTTGACAGTCATCCAGATTTTTCCCAGTTCTGTGGGAATTTGGCACACCGTGAAATAACTGTTAAAATGGGTACCACCATATAAGTTAGTATTTTTCCTTGCTAGAAATTTTCAAGAGGTAAATTGTTAGGTTTGGGGTGGGAGGAGGAAAAGAAAACCTGTCTCGTATGTGAGATCATATCTTAAATTTCCTCAGCCCTCAGGGGAGAGTTAGTCAGTAGGTCCACCTTGGAAACAGATAACTTGTATAATCTGGATACACATAACTGTGCGTTTAGCTGCAACTGCGGGGGGGTGGGGGGGGGGGATATGGTCAGGTCAGGTAGAACATTTGGAATGTTAGGCTTTTGGCACAGAAAAGCATTTAAGAACTTTTTTTCAGTTAATCCTCACCTGAGGATACTTTTCCATTGATGTTAGAGTAGGAGGAGTGAGAGAAACTTCTGAGAGAGAGACATTGACTGGTTGCCTCCTGCAGGACCCCAACCAGGGCCGGGGATTGAACCTGCATCCCAGGTAGGTGCCCTTGACCAGGAATCAAATCCACGACTCTTCAGTCTGCAGGCTGATGCTGACCCAAACCGGCCAGGGTCTAAAGGTGCTTTATGATACGAGATCAAAGAATATGAGCCTTAGTCTGTCTCTAGGGGTTTCACTGCCCTTACTGGGAGTAAGGTGAGATTTGTGAAAAGAAATGACTATGCCCTGGTCCGTTTGGGTCAGCAGTTAGAGCATCAGCCTGCGGTCCAGAGATCCCAGGTTCAGTTCCCATTAAGGGCACATACCTTGGTTGCAGTTTGTCCCCGGCCCCAGTTGGGGTTGTGTGGGTGGCAACCACTTGATATGTCTCTCTCATATCGATATTTCTCTCTCTTCCTCTTTCTATCCTTCCTGCTCTATCTGAAGATAAATGCAAAAAAAATGTCCTCGGGTGAGGGAGAAAAAAAAGAAGAAATGACTAATGAGATTAAACAGGTTTTGTTCTAAGATACAAGTTTACAAATGTCCCAAAGGTGTGCAGATAAGAAAGTCCCTTTCAGCAAGGCCATCATTTAAGGCTCAAGAAGGGTGTTGCATGTTGCAGCCTAACCTGGCAGGGGAGACACCATGATCAGAAAAGTGTTTTTCCCAGGGTGAGGCTCACCCATTGCACTCTGGGTGTGCTGACCCCTTTGATTTCCCCACATGTGAGAAACTGTACTGCATCATTTGTGGTAGTGGGTGACTGCGTTCACACTCTCCCCCCCCAAAAAAATGTGTGTTGCGTTTGAGCTGGTCCTTGAAGCATGGTTAGGATTGAAAGAGATGGAAACATTTTGTTTGGGAAAAGCCAGGAGCTAGGGAGGAGGGGGGTGAAACAACCATAATAAAACTCCATGTTGCCCTGGCCAGTTGGCTCAGTGGTTGGAGCGTCTGCCCGTGACCAAGGAGTCTCGGGTTTGATTCCGGTCACCGGCACATAACTCAGTTGTGGTTCGGTCCCCGGCTCTAGTTGGGGTCATGCGGGAGGCAGCCAGTTGATGTGTCTCTCTCACATTGATATTTCTCTCTTGTCTCTCTCCCTCCCACTCTATCTGAAGATAAATGGAAAAATATCCTCCGGTGAGGTTTAAAAAAAACTCCATGTAATTCTTACATGTCCCAAAGTTTAGACATGGGAAAAGAAGACTTTGAGGCACTAAAAGCTCTTTTTCCCTCCAGAGGGGCTTGGGGGTAGGAGGCATGAGGAAGAAGTTCCAACACTTGGCCCCATTCCATAATCAGTCCCTTCCTGACTTGTGTGCCCCTTGGCACTCAGGCCACTGGAAAGGTGAGTCCAGTCCCTTTGGACTCATCAAATGTTAGGCTGTTAGAATTTAAAAGAGATCTTGGAGATGATCTCAGTGTTTGCTACCTTTTCTTACAAAAGGACAGCAGGTCTCATAAAGCAGCAGCAGTTGCCACAGTTCCTGTCCCACATGAAATGCAGTCTGGAGTCATCTGTGGGTTTATAAGTGCTGTCCTCCTGGTCCCTCCTCCTCAGATGATGGAGCACCGGCTGAATCAGTTTTCCACCACGGAAATAGGTTGCTTTTTCTTAGTACAATTTCAAAAGTAAATACCAGCTCATTGGAGCAGACAGGTTTGTTTAGTATGTTCCTTAACTGTGAGTAATAAACTGCTTAGGAGGGGAAGCTTGTAATTATCAAGCTTCTGCAGAAATAAACTGCCTTCCCGTTGGAGAACCAAGGCACCTTCTCCTGTAGCCTTCAGTGGTGAGAGTTCAAATACAGCAAACTGTTGGGGCTTTTGAGTTAATAACCATTAGTTCCAGAATCACATTCAACACACACGCGTATGAACATTCACAAATCCACCGGGCTTTACCTAGAAGAAAGTAAGATGTGTTGATAATCAGTTGATCCACAAGTATTGAACACAGTGCACTTAAATGGCCAAACAGTACATGGTGTCTCATGACTAAGTGCAGCAGGAATTGAGAAGAAAGAAATCAGTAGGGCTGGATTGGAGGGCGGGACTTTGCTTTCAATAGATGAGAGGAGGAGGAGAACTCACCCTTTGTGGAAGAAGGTGGCGGATGTGGGAGCAGTGATGTAAGCCCCGCTGCTCCTTTCCAAAGGTACTTGTTCCTGGACGGGATGAGGACTCTGGGAGAGGATTCTGGGGAAGGGTTAACACCATTAGCATCGGGGAAATAAGCCTCCTACAGGCAGGAATAAGAAGAGCTCAGTTGAAATCTTAGCTGGCTGTCTCAAAGCGAGACCACACGGAAACACCCCTGGCACCTGAATGCATCGATTGACAGGGGTGTGGACGGGAGAGCCCAGGGGAAAGAGCTAAAGAAACTCATTACCCCTGGATTTGACTGTGAGTCCTTTCTTCTTCCACTATCAAAAACTGGGCGGGCCCCACTCAGCTCTTCTGAGTTTTCACATCTGCGAGTGGGCCTGAGCTTCTGACGTATAGCCCGGTGGACAGCCACTTAGACAGCCCAGGTGGACAGTCAGGGAGGACACTTGCGCTACTTGCTAGAAGTTTCTTACTGATAAAGTTTCGTATTTTCACGAGAAGCCCATGAGAGGGAGTGCTTAGAAATTGCAGGCCACCAAAACGGTAGGTCTGGGAAGTACCTGCCTGAGGCTGGCCGCATCCCCTCCCACCTCTTCCTTCCCTTTTCCTGCCTTCCCTCTAACTCGGATATACTAGTTTTCTATCTATTTTTAATGTTTTGCTTTCATGGCTGTTAGCCATCATGGGGGAATTGCTGAAGGAAGTGGCCATCTTTCAAATTCTAGGTCAGCGTTTATAGATTTGGCTGAAATGTAGTTTAGAATTAATTTCTATCATGGTTCTTAATTATTTAAAATTTTGATTTACTGATTTTATTTATTTATTTTTTCTATCCTCACCCGAGGACAGATTTGTTTTTTTGTCTTTGTTTTTTGCATTTATTCAGATAGAGCGGGAGGGAGAGAGGTAGGAAGAGAGAGAGAGAGAGAAATATCAATGTGAGAGAGACATATCAAGTGGTTGCCACCCACACAACCCCAACTGGGGCCGGGGACAAACTGCAACTGAGGTACATGCCCTTACGGTAACCGAACCCAGGACTCTCTGGTCCATGGGCTGATGCTCTAACCACTGAGCGAAACCGGCCAGGGCGAATTTTTATTTATTGACTTTAGAGAGAGAGGAAGGGGGAGAGAGTGAGAAACATTGATTTGTTGTTCTACTTATTTATGCATTTATTGGTTGATTCTTGTATGTTCCTTGACCAGGGATTGAACCCACAACCTTGGTGTATCAGGATGACACTCTAACCAACTGAGTTGCCTGGCCAGGACCTAAATAAATAAAATAAAATAAATTACAAAAGCAACACAATGTCCATTACTAAAAACCTTTTCCCTCCTAACTTTAAAATGTCTTTGTGAGTATGAGTTGATTACCTCTAGAACAGGGGTGGGGAACAGTCTGGCCCACAGGCCTTATAAGGCCCTAGAAATCAATACCAGTTAACATCACACGCCTCACTGAATTAGCCAGACCAAATATAGCAGGCTAATTTTTAAGTTGATAATTTTGTATGGCCCTTGGCAGAAAAAAGGTTCCCCACCTCTGCTCTAGAAGCTTATAGCAATTTTCTTATTCTTGGTGTTCAAAAGTTCCATCAGGATCAATGTCTCAGCATCGGTAAGCCCATTCAATCTAAAGACATGCCATTCTTTAGCACAAGAAAAATTTCGGTTATTCCTTGGATTATTTTATCCACTATATTTATTGTGTCCTGTCCTTGTGTTCTTAAACTCCGTCAGACAGATTGCTGGCCATATGGATCTGTCCTTTGTTTCTCCTCTTGTTTTGTTTTATTTTGAACTGTCTTTCTCTCTTCTTTGTTATGTGAGATTTTCTGAACATTTCTATTTCAGACATTTTTCTGGTTCTCTGCTCCTTTTTCCATAGAAGCCAGTTCTTGTTTTGTGTCCATAATATTCTCCTGTATTAATTTAAATAGCTAGAGATCTGTGTGCCTGTTTTGTATAACTCTTCACTCCCCTTTCAGAAATATCCTTGATAGCCAGAGTTAGCTCCTTGTCTGCTTCCCATCCCCGGGGTCCTTCCGTGGCCGCCCCGTCTGGAAGGAAGCACTCTCTGGCTCTCCAGCAGCCAGCCACCCCTGCCCGCTCTGTCCAGCTGATTCAGATGTCTTTCTTGAATGAATTGTCCTAACAATTGCCCCTCAGCTTCTCCCACCCCTTGTCTCTGTTGACTCAGCTTGGAGTTTCTTGAAGCTTCCTTCGGAAGAACCCCATTTCATTTACCTTCGGGAGCTAGGAGGTACTTCGGGACTGTAGGTCGTGGCTGTCTGGGCTCGCTCCTGCCACCACTCAGCTCCGCTACTGCAGTGGGGAAGCCGCCGCAGGTGCACATCCGCTCTATTCACGGACACGGAGATGTGAACTTCGTAGAGCTTTCACATCATGAGATAGCACTGCTCTTAAGATTGTTTTTCAACTCTTTAAAGTGTGAAAGCCCACAGGCAGCAGAAACCACGGGCGGGCACTGGCCACATGTGGCTCATGGGCTGTAGTTTGTAGACCCCTGATCTAGAGGGAAGAACGCTGTACTATTAGCCAAATATTCCTTTTTCCTATTTCCATTCACACCTGTAAAAATGGACCGTTTCCTTGAGTCTCCCCGGAATGTTAGGGGTGGGCATCACGTCCTAACACAGACCTAAGGACCGAGTGGAGAGCTTGTGTTCCACCAGCTTCCTTTGGTTTCCGCCTTTTCCCATGTCACTGCAGAGCTTATGGGAGAAAAGCCCAGCTTGTGCTGATGATTGGGCAGCCAGCGAACAACCAAGAATGACCGAGCACCAGCTAAACGTTCTAACCTAGGCTTTTGTGGTGGAGGCATTTCTTCTTCCTTAGTGGTATTTTCTAGATGAATCTGGCATGGTTAAGGGTACAGCTCAGCCTCGTCTGGAAACCACTTTGTCCCTCTAGTCTGTGGCTGCTGCCTAGCAAAGAAAGGTCGTTGGGATTGTCGCTGTGGCTAGGTGCTTGTATTTTTAGACACAGTAGGTTGAGAGTCGTGACCTTCACTTGATATGTCCAGCAGTGCCACACGGGGCATTATACTGCTTTGTACACTGTGTGCTGTGCCGGTGGGTGTGCTGTGATGGCAGTGACGTCAGCAGGAGGGGTGGAATTCGACCTGTTTATTCCTGAGTGTGCCCCTGGCCAGGCTCCACCGCGGTTGTCCTGACTCGGGACCGGCAGAGACGTTGGTCAGCGGTCCAAGGTGCAGGTAGCCTTCTCCAGCGCCGGGCCCTTCACTAGTTATGCAACACGGAGGAAACTGGACAATCTCTGGACCTCAGTAGCCATGCCTATGGAACGGCGAATGCAGGACTGATTTTGTCAGGGTGTTGGGAAGAGGAATGAAAATACCTGGAAGCAGTATGGCACATGCTAAGCTGTCAGATAGTAACAGCCTTCTCCTGAAACCAAAAAGTGAGCTTCACTGAGTGGAATAGAATAGCTAACATTCAGCTGACCACCGAGGATGTGCTGGGTATAACTAGTTTAACTGAATCCTCACAGCAACCCAGTGAAGTAGGCTGCACTGATGCCCGGATGAAGAAACTAAGGCACAGGGAATGCTGTTAGTAAAAGGGAGGAGCCAGAATTGAAACCAGACAGCCTGACCTGAGTCATGTGTTGAATGCTTTGCTCTAGA